CTGGATACCACATGAAGAACTGCTGCAGTACAGAAGGAAAACACCCACAAATCGCACACCGCTGGTTATGACCTATCACCCATCCCTTGAACCTGTACGGAAAATCCTCAAAAAATTGCAACCCATTTTAGAAAAAGACCCTATTCTTAAAAAGATCTTCCCAGAGCCACCCATCCTAGCCTTCAGACAAGCACCGAACCTCGCCAACCTCATCACCAGAAGCAAACTTCCTCAACCCCAGAACACACCAAAAGGATCCAGACCGTGCCATGACAAGAAATGCAAAACCTGCCCACACATCTCCACCACCCCCACTATTACTACACCCCACAACAGAGCCATCAGCATCCCAGGATCTTACAGCTGCACCTCCAGGAATGTAGTATACCTCATCCAATGCACCAAATGCCCTGATGGAAAATATGTAGGAGAGACCAAACAACAACTGCGCACCAGAATGAATGCACACCGGAAATCCATCAAAGACAGAAACACTCAATTACCGGTGGGGGCACATTTCTCACAGGAGGGCCACTCTCTCTCCAATCTCTCAGTCCTGATCCTCAAGGGAAATTTACACAACACATCCCAGAGACGAGCCTATGAGCTCCATTTCATCAACCTGCTGGATACTAGAGATCAGGGACTAAACATAGACATTGGATTTTTGATACATTATAATCTGCCTGGCAACTGACTCCCCAGCCCAGCCCAGCCCAGCCCCTGGCTTCTTTACTTTTCATTCCATCCAGGAAGAGCACACACCAACGGCTGCAGCTTCCTTAGCCTGACGAAGGGTTTTTGAACCTGAAAGCTTGCTTAATAACTATTCTCCAACCATTTGGGTTGGTCTAATAAAAGATATCAAATTCACCCAAGGAACCTTGTCTGCCTTAATCTGGGGGGCATTAAGTGCACATCAAGTGATTAAGGGGTACAACTAAAGAAGAAACCAGGAATGGGAATGAGGTCAGAGGTTCAAAATGAGTATACCAAGGGGGGATTCCAAGCAGAGCCCAGCAGACAATGCCCACTGGCCCTCAAACAGAGTCCAAGGAGGCAGTGGACACTGCCCAGTGAAACTCTGCCAGAGACCCAAATAGACCATAGGCAGGAAAATGGCCCCATGTAAGTATACAGGGCAAAGGAGGAATGGGAGGGGAAGGAAGGTGCTGCTTAGCCTGGAGGTCGAGGCAAGGGGTGCCAAGAGTAGGTAGGATTCTTACCCGTCTTGAGAACTTAAAAAGTTCCCCAGCTCCTGCTCCCGTGCCTGCCCTCGTTGCAAGTCAACACACAGCTCCTGCTCCATATTGTTGCTGTTCCCTTTTCAAGCTCTTGGATCTGCCTATGGGTCCAGATATGGCTTATACATTTGGGTTTTCAGTTCTTCCCATGTGATGACATGGCAAGTTTCAGTGTCTCTCACCTCTTGTTGGTATAATCAGTTCCAAGGTATAATACAAAACCATGGGGAGAAGGACTAATCAGTAAGACTCTCCTTAATCTCAGTGGGGCCATTATGTTCTGCCCTCTAATCTTTGCAATATTTTTTGCCTCTTCTGAGGATTTTCTATAATTGTTGGATTAATCTAATTATTATATAAAACAAAAGCCCAGGATCTGATCCTTGTATGGGATGGGAGAAGAGATTATCCAAATCAGATCCAATCCAAATGTATATCTGAGGTTTATCTTTAATAATCAAAGTCAAACACAATCACAGAACATCTTTCATTTTTAGTAGAGTGGAGTGCTTTCCCAACTATTTTCAGGAATCATTTCAGCTACCACTAAAATGAACTACTTTGAGTGTAGAACCTGGCAGAATTCCAACAGTATACCAACAACAAGAACCGGACAGGAAACAAATTTAGCACGTGAAAAGAATAACAATGTTGCATACAAGAACAACAGAAGAATTTACTTAAATAGAACATAACTAGAATTTGAAAAGAATCTTTAAGTAACACTTCCAGTATTCCACAAAAAGACATGGGATCCTACTCAGAGAAAAATGCTGCCTATTGAAATCCTCAGAACTGCTTCCTGTGGCACACCTGGGATTTTCTTGGAGATCTCATACTAATTCAAACTAATCCTCTGAAACTGTAAGAACAGATAGAGGTAGTTTCACATGCTATTTTTTCTTTCCAAAATGTGAAGACATACAATATATTCCATGTTAAATCATACCTGTCAAAGCATGATGATATTTGTATCTCATTTGACAAGAGATCTTTCTGGATGTACATCAAATGGCATTGCATTTTTTTAAAATGACATTGTACTGTGATGCCATACTAATTTGCTTTATACTTACTTTGCTAGGTCTTTAATAAATTCGGGATACCTGCACTGTCATTTGTTCCTACTTAGTTTATTGCCTTCACTAGGCACATTTCATCTAACATTGCATATTTGTATTTAAAGCATTCAAATTCTTGGATACTCCTCTTAAATTTCGTTTAAGAATTGTGCTTAGGTTCTCTATCCATTGTCTCTGTTAATCTTACAACATAAGAATTTGTTTTTTTCTTAAAATAAATCAAAGAAAAAATCAAAAGCATGAGAAACCAGAATACAGGATATTAATCATTCAAACATGCAGGTCACAAATTTCAATCTGCCTGCAAGTATCTGTCTCACACACACACACACACAAAAAAAAAAAAAAAAAAAAAAAAAAAAAATCAATGAATAAGAAGTCAGCAGAGTAATATCAGACTTTGCATACATGAAGACTTACTGTATCAGCAGAGTAAGGGTTCATTTAATTCTACTTAACGTGAAGCTATGTTTTAAGATAAAGCTTACATTGGATGATGTGCTGCACACTAAAAGGAAATATCAGTGTTTACATCCAGAATAAGATTAACAGCAGCAGCTGTCCAGAATCAGAAAATATTACACATGTAAATGTTCTGTTTTTAAAAATATAAATCTTGAAACTAGACAAAGTGGGGGAAAAACATCCTTCCAGTTTCTGGACTTTTCCAACACTAGAGCAGTATGTCTCAATCAGTGGGTAACAACCCAAAAGTGGATTGCAAGAATATTTCAAAGGGCCGTGAGCTGCAGCAGGGCAGAGGGGTGGTGGGAAGCTGTCTGCCCTTCCAACAGGGGGAAGGGTGTGGGGGAAAACTGCATGGCTGGGCTGGTGGCACCAGGACCAGTGCCTGTGCTCACAGGGGCAAGGCAGCCAGGAGATACTGCTCGAGGGGCAGGAGGGGCCATGATCAGGCTGCCTGATGCATTATGGCAGCCCCAGCCCAGGGAAAGGGAGGCTCTATAGGCCTCTCTACCTCCTTCCTCCAGCGCATGCTGGGGCCAGACTCACTTCGCTGCTGCCTGCATGAACCACTGTGCTCCAGCCCAAGTGGGACGCAAGCAGGTGGGGGCCCCTCTGGTAGGGCTGAGGAGACAGGGGGCTGTAGGGCCAGAGGGACATGGGTTGGGACAGGCCATGGATCTTTGCAAATGAGTCCCGGTAGGAAAACAGTTGAGAACCACTGCACTAGAGGATCACTCATCCTCTAAAAATATGTAAATGCCACTTGCTTCAGAACAAGACAGTTAATACTCTAATTAAAGCTCCTGATTCTGCTCTCACTTTTCCAAGTATAAGTTTGGAGTAAATCCACTTGATACAATGGGATCATACTACTTTAAAAATCAGAGGAAAAAAAAAAAAAAAATCACTGTAAGAGGATTAATGCCTCACATTTCTTCTACTCTACCCTAAAAAGATGATGAGTCTTTTTACCAATTACAGTGGTTTTACAGCAGTATACCATGGGGCTCTGTGTTTAGAAATAAAACAAGGTAACTATTACTGTTTTTGTTGGGCTGTGACTGCCTGAAATTAATCTCATTGTTTATTTCAAGCCCATCCTTTTCCTTTAATGTTCAGTGTATCAAATTTTAGTTGCACTAGAGGCCACTACATCTTTCCTAAAAAAAATACCATTGAAAGTAAGATGCATTCCAGAAGCTGTGGAGCAGTAGGAGCACAAAAAACAAAAAGCAGTAAAGGAACTGCAACCTAATATTTTCCATATTACTATTCCAAATATTTGATTTCCTAAGTAAAAGTGATGTTTGTGCTAGGAAGGACATTTTTTTTTAAACAAAAGTTTGTTTCAACAAATGTTATTCTATTTTAATAAGTATTTTATAGATGATGTTTACAGTCTCTTTCCATAAAACTTCTGATGTGAGAAAGCTTGGATTTTTAACAGTTAAATATCACATTCTCAATTCTCTATCACAATGAAATTTCCATTACTCAGGCTGACCTTAAGTGACTGGCTTTCCCATTTGCTCTCTGGGTCTTTTTCTGCTTTACCTAATATCCTTTCTTTTTCATTGCCTTGGAAGGAAGACAAAATCTGCTTCCTTAATTTGCCAGTTGCATGCCAACTTAGGAGAGTCTATTCACCTAGTGGTAGTATTGGGTTTCTTAATTTGCCATCTTCATATCTGCTTCCTCTGTCAGCATCTTCCTTGAGATATGCGATTTCCCTAAGTGCTCTTCAGGGAAATGAAATCAAATCACAAACACTTCACAGGAGGAAGTTTGAAATGTTCTTTTTTAATGTTGTTATTATGGTAAATTGCAAAAAAAGAAAAAAAAGAAAGAAAAAGAAAAAAAATGAAATACACGTTTCATCACCTCCTCTGCAGACAAAAGGAAAAGGCCACAAGTTTAGCTGATGTAAAGCAGCATAATTCCACCAGTTTCATTGTATACTTGCAGAGGATCCAGACCATAATTTTTATTTTTAAGTCATCAGTAAATGGCTAAGTGCAAGGCATATATCTTGGTGAAATTTATATTTGGCTAATTTAGGGAGTCCCATTTCCTCTTAAGTAATAAAGTAACTATCTATATACACAATATATACTTATATTAATAACAGGGAGCCAGAGGCTCCAGTTACTATAAAGGGAAAGTGCAGCAGACTAAGCTTGGTGTATGGAGCTAGTTACCCTCCAAAAAACAGCCAAGAGAGCCCCCAGGCAGGGCAGGGGTAAAAAAGGCTAAGCTGCAGCAGAGGAGGGCAGGCCACCATGAAGCCAAAGCACAAATCCATGTGTGTGGCTGGAGAGCCACCTGACAGGTTGGGGTGGGGCTTTGTAGCACGTAAGGCTAGGGCCCAAGATCAAACATGCAGTTGGGCTCTGCATGGTGGAGGGAAAGGAGCTCCTGGGGGAGTTGGCTGCAAAAAAACAGACTGGTAGGCACCTAAGCCACCTGATAGAGCTTGAAGAAGAAAGCTAAGGGAGGAAGCATGGTCTGTGGTGGGGCACTGACCCAGAGTAGGGAGGGACTTTAATTTAGAAGAGGTTTACTGTTATCTATGTTATATTTTCAGTTTGAGCTTAACTGGAAGATGGGGTTGTGGCTTTGAGGACATGGAGGATGTTGGGGCACCAGAGAAGAACCCAGCATAGAGCCCTGCAAGTGTTGGGGACCCCAGGGGGCTGAGGAGCAGGAGAGCAGACTTGCCTGGGTCAGGGACCTCAAGGGGATGAGCAGCTTGAGAATGGTGAGACCAGGGCCAAGGGCCTGGAAGCTGTGGTCTGAGGTAGTGGACCAAGCCTGAGTGGGCAACAGCCAAAAAAAAAGGGGGGGAGGGGGGACACAAAGCTGGTAAGGCTGAAGCCCCAACAAAGTTTTGAAGCCCGAGTAGGTCAAGTGTAGATAGGTCAGGGGGGCCCTTCTAAACTTATACCAAGTACTACCTGCAAGGTACGAGTGTAGATACAGGGGAGTATGGAGATCATTAATACCACCCATAAGGCAACTGGTGCCCTGAAGCACTAATAAGGGCAGGAGGATGACATATTAGTGCCCAAGGGCAAGGCTAAAGCTAAGGATTCCAGCAAGGTATGGCAGATTAGGGGGAGGGTGGGAGGAGTGAAAAGAGGGAGGTTACCTGAGAGCTAGAGTGGGGCAAGAGTTGTGTAGCCACATCAGGAGCTGTCATGGCCACCCTTGGGGACAGAGCTGCTACAGTATACATCTGCATGTAATGTATTTGGAGGAAGGTTTAGGGTATTGGATTCAACACCACAGAAGCCAGCAAGTCTTGCAAAGAGATAAAAAGCAACAGAATGTGTGTCACTTTTCAGTGAATGTATTATTTTTGGACAAGATTAATGCTGCACAGTTCCACAGAAAAAAGCAGAGCAAACCTGTGCTACCCCCAGCATCAACAGAGACCATTTCTGAGCACTGTGTCCTTCTACCTTATGAACTGCCAGCAGTCATGTTGTGTGGATTGTACATGAACTTGTGTAGATACTATTTTAGCATCAGGGCCAGACCAATATCTGCAACCCTTTCCCTCCCATGCCATGTGTACATTGGTAAACTGTTCTGTTTATCAGTAGATCCCCAGGCTCAGCTTCACTGTTACCGGTTC